TTTAAAATATTCTTTGTATAAATCTTTTATATCACTGGCTGGGTTAATTCCTATGTATTTTATCAATTTAAGATCTATTTTAAATGGTATTTTTTTTTGTTGACTTTTTTTTTTTTTCCTGAATAATCATCTTTAGTATAGAAATGCCCAGCTGATTTACGTGTGTTGTTCTTGTATCTCACAATGTTGCTGAATTCTTCTATTAGTTCCAGGAGTTTTCTTGTTAAATCTTTAGAATCTCTGATGTATAGGGCCATGTCATCTGCAAATAAAGAGTATTTTACTTCTTTCTTTCCTATTTGTGTATATTTTATTTCTTTTGTGTCTTATTGCTCTAGGTAGGACTTCCAGTATAAGGGAAAGATCTCAGCCTTTCTACATTGACTGTAATGTTGGCTATTTTTTTTTTTTAATTTTTTTTAAATACATGGCCTTAATTGTATTGAGGAATTTTCCTTCTATTCTTATTTTACTGAGACACTTTTTTGTGTTGTTTTGTTTTTATCAAAAGAGGGTATTGAATATTATCAATTGATATAATCATATGGTTCTTTTCTTTTGTTTCATTTATTTAAGGGATTCCCTTGATTGGTTGTTTAAGGCTGGACTACCCTTATAATCCTTGTATGAGTCCCACTTGGTAATGATGTAATGATGTAATTTTTGGTTATGTTCTGAAGTCTGTTGCCTAGAATTTTGTTGAAATATTTTGCTTCTATGTTCATAAGGTTTGTTGGTTTGTAATTTTCTTTCTTTTTTGGTTATGTCTTTTTCTGGTTTAGTTATCAGAGTTATGCTGGCTTTATACAAAGAGTTTGGTAGTGTTCCTTCCTCATCTGTTTTTGAAGTAATTCCATAAGATTGGTTTAAGCTCTTCTCTGAATGTTTGGTAGAATTCTCCAGTGTAGCTTTCAGGTCCTGGCTTTTTTTTTTGTTTTTTTTCCACTTTTGGTTGACATCTTCTGTCTTTTCTTTTTGAGTCCATTCTGGCTCTTACAACCCCCACTGGGTTTCCAAGGTTGTAAATCATTATGGATGTAGATCATGTCATATTCCTCCCACAGAGCACCTAGGCATTTGAACCACTGATCTTCTGATTAGCACCCAGATGCCTTACCCATTATGCCACTAGAGCTCCTTTCTATTATAAATAGATCTGTTTAAATTTGCTACCTCTGCGTATGTTAATTTGGATAGATAGTGTGTTTCCAGGAATCTGTACATTTCTTCTAGGTTTTCAAAATTGATGAAGTATAATTTTTCATATTCTGTTATGATCTTTATTTCTGTTGAATTGGTTGTAATATCACCAGTTTCACTTCTCAGTTTGATTATTAGCATCTTCTGGTTTTATTCGTCTGTCAGTCTCTATAGAGATTTGTTTATTTATTGATATTTTCAAAGAACACAATTATGGTTATGTTAATTTTTCAACTGTTTTTATATTTTCAATTCCATCTATTTCTACCAAGGCCCTTATTATTTCCCTTTTTTTTTCTTATTTTCCTTATTTTACTCTTTCTCTCTCTCTCTTTTTTTTTTTTTTTTTTAAGTTAATGATTTTGGAAACTCTTTTGTATTGCTATAAATTACCCTCTGACTATTGCTTTTGCCAT